ATTTCCCTTTACGATCATAACTCAGATATTGCACAGGTCACATCTACTCTAATCCCACTCCATCAACTTTGGTCACCTGGGGGCATCTTTCTTTAAGGTGGCACATACACCTATAAGGGACATCTACCTCAACGTTCTTTATGGATGTGCCAAGTTGTTCCCCAACCAGCAAATGGGAGCTACTCGGATTGTTTCTTTTATGCATTTTGCTATCATCTCCTAGAAGCAAGGAGAGCTGGACTGGGGAAAATGGGAAGGAAAAGAAACTAAAAGGGGGTAATTCTGAAATGCGAAGCTTTCAGAAGAGGGCAGGTGTGGGTGGGATGCTGCAGAGGTAGCCCTGGTAGGAGGGTGGCAGTGTGGTGCAATGACCTGACATTAAGCACTGGACCGTTCCACTCCTGACTCGGTCACTTCCCTGGGTGAGTTTCTTATCAGTCTCTGTCATAAACACTGAGAAGCTGAGATGGCATTAATACATGTAACACCAAACGCACTGCTTTCTACCTGGCAGGGACTCATACTGCTACTCCTTTCCTTCCTTCTTCCTGCTTTTAGAGGGCAAAGGAGAGAGCATGTCAACAGATGAAAATGAGGCTTAAAAGGCAAGGTAGCTGGACACCAAAAACATTTGGCCAATTTCACCTGGAGTCCTAATGCCTGGGCATGAAAGAAAAGCATGCTGGGAGCTGGTCTAACACTTGGCCTGTGCACGATCTCCACGGGTGGTTTGAAGGCAGGGAAAATGTCAAGATGCTTGCCTGCGAACAGCACAAACAAGCAGCCAGCTCCGACATTCCAGGAGCTAGCAGTCCTTGAACTGAAGGAACTGGCTGGATGTGAAGCCTTGAAGAGAAAGATTTTCCTTTGTCTGATTTTTTTTTTGAACTGAGATAAACCCTTTATTTATTTATGCATCTCCATTTTGTTTAAAACAACAACAACGTCCTCATTCGAACCGAGAGCCTTCCCCTCGCCCTCTCTTGGGCTGCTGTTGTTTTGTCCTGTCCACTTGGCTCTGATTTTGTCTGATTTTAAAGCTAACAAAACCGGTATGCTTTAAAATGGCAATAATGCTTCATGTATAAACAACCTGCAGCTGTAACCATACTGAGGGAAAGAGAGTAAAAGGAGTAAGAATCCTGAAAACCAGCCAACAAATCCTCCCACTTACAAGGGGGTTTAAAAAAAAGATCAGCACAAGAACACAAGATCATCTCTTTCTTTAGGTTTTAAACTTTCATTGCAAACCTGCCACTCCCCTGTTTTACAAAACTCTAGGGATTAGTGCTTCAGGCACTTAATCAGAAAGTAGCAGAGGTTACCTGGTATGTCTGAAAGACCAGATCATTAACTTGAGAAGCTACAAGAAGTGAATACCCTCTCCCCTCTACCTGCTCTCCCATCCATGGCCCTGGAGACCAATCTGTCTCACAGCAACCCTACAGCAACCAACAGCACAGGGCTATCCATAGAGCTTTCCAAGGCTGTCATCTCCCTGTCCTGCGCTGTCCCTCCACCCTTCCCTTCCAAGCATTATGTCCTTCTCCAAGAACCGGTCTCTCAGGGCCACATACCCAAAGTATGTGAGATGGAGCTTCAAAATCCTAGCCTCCAAGGAGAAATTTAGTTTCACCTTCTCCAAGACAGACCTATTTGTTTCCTTGGTGGTCCATGGTATGTTCAAGACAGATCACGCAGAAGAGGGAGGCCCAGAGGAGATGGACTGATACAGTAACTGGGACAATGGGGGTCCGTGTGTCAGACAGAATCAGTGGACTGGTTCAGGACAGGGCAGGGTTCAGAGCTGCTCTGATAAGGGTTGCAGGTGACTTGATGGCACATAACAATAACAACAACAACAACATCTCCCACAGAGTCACTGGTGGGTTCAAGCAGTAGGCAATCACTTAACCACTGAGCCACCAGAGCACCTTATCTGTTGTCAGCCTCTAGCAATCTTCAACCAGAGCAAAGAATACAGAATGTAACAAGATCCCAGTGTGCCCTGGAGGTGACTGATAAAACAACTCAGGACCAAGGATGTTATGTGAAAACAGCAAGAAAAATGTTTTCTGATTTCAGGGGTTACCTATTGTTCACTCTCAAGGCCATGAAACCAGGATCAACTCATAGCCTACCCTCCAGTGGGCTTTCACAGGTTATAAACGCGCAAGGAGCGAGATGGCCCATTTTTCTCCTACAGACCTAACTATTAACTCGGAGCTTATGTTGATCACCATCATAAATGCATTTGTTTATTGTTACTGGTTTGTTCACATGAAAGTATCTGGGAGAAAAATACCAAACTCTGATTTTGATATAAAATTCAATGCCGATTTCCCCGCTGAGAGAAGAGGTAAACATATTATTTCCATGAAAAGCATTTAAGAAAAATTTCCAGTCAAAAGTTGGAGCTCCACTAGGAATTCCAGCAAAGTGAAGAAGCCAACAAACAAAAAAGGATAATTTGCTAAATGTAGGCCTAATGTTTTGAAAATGAATGTAACAAAAAATAATCCAAAACGAGTTGAACTTCTGTCCCTGTGTGTCAACATGAAAGTACCAACAAAAGGAATGCCAGAAAGAATTTTCTGCAAATAGACATTATGCTTCAGAGAAAATTTGGGTTTGGTCTGCATGCCTGGCAACCTTATGCTTTTGAAAGGAAGCATTCTGGATGCTTTTGCACGCCACCTCTCAGAAGTCACCTGTGTTGATTTCATTTCTGCTGTTCCATATTTATGCACCACTGCTCACTTCCCCACTGTTTACAAAACAATTTATGATAATGCCTTATTTATTACAGTTTCCACAACAAAGCTGTTTTAAGGCACTTATGGCCTTGTAACACAGGACTCCCCAGGGGAAGCAAGTGAGATGCAAATCCTTCTGCTCCCTGGCTCTCCCACAGAGCTGCAACACGCAGTAAAAACGGGCAATGGGCCACTTCTGCTCCCACGAGCAAATCCTAAAGCAAGAGGAGGTAGATTTTGCTTTAACACTGAGAATGATAAAGAATGGAGGGAAAGGAGCAAAGGACACACCAACTGAGAAAGGTATCTGCTAGTATCAACTTCGCAAAACAGATGAGGGAGGGAACTGTTTAAAAGGGATACATGATTAGGTATTACTGCCATGACAGGAGTCCAGAACTAAGACTGCATAGTGGAGTGGACTTAGGGGGAGGGCTTGTACAAAAATGAAAGAATTTTTCTTTTACTTTTCAAAGAGAAGAGTGTACTGGGGGGTAGGGGCGGGCAGGGCGAAGAGTTTAACAATGAGTGAATGGAAATCCAAAATCTCTGTAAATTTTCATTCAAATTAATAATAATAACTTTTCAAAAAAGAGCAGAAGTCTACAGATTCTAATAAGTTAAGCTAGGGTTCAAAGATAGTGATTTGGGACTAAGGAAGAAAGTTAGAGTGATGATTAGAAAATGGGCTTTGAAGTCAGAGACGCCAGCAGCTAACCTTAATCCCACTAGTTATCTCACCTCTCTAAGACTAAAGCTCTCTTGAACCATAAAAATTATCTACATTGTGATCATGAGATTGACTCTTAATGGGATTAAAATACACACATAAACAAACAGCTCTGTTAGCACGAAATAAAAACTAATAAACAGTAGCATCAAGGCAGTAAATCCTAGTGAACTATTTCTGCCAGATGATGATGTTGTTAAGTGCCATCGAGTATGACTCACAGAGACCCTACGAACAGCCATTCTGAAACTTATCTTATCCTGTGCCAGCCTCATCATCTCTGAGACACTAGTGCTCATTGCTGAAGTCACAGTGCCAGTCCAGCTCATTGGGAGTAGTCTCTCCTTTGCTGACCCTCCGTATTTCTAAGCATGTTGTCCCTCTCCAAGGAACAGCCTAGCCTAGCTATCAAAGACAGACTGCATTAGGAAAATCTCCTGTCAGGGACCTCTCCTGAGTGATGTCAGTCTAGGCACCAAGGTGTATCTGATCCAGACGATGGTCTTTGCAACTACTTATTATGCATCAGAGAGGATGAACAAAGATTACAAAAGAAGAATCAATGGCTCTAGGTTATGGTGTTGGAGAAGTATTAAACATCCCATGGACCGCCAAGAGAATGAATAGGTCTGTCCTAGAGAGGATGAAACCAATCTGCTCCTTGGAGGCAAGCATTTTGAGATGCTTTCTCATACCCTTTGGGCAGGCAGTGAGGAAGGTCCAGTCTTTGGAGAAGGGTATCATGCTTGGAAGGATCAAGGGACAGCTCAAGAGAGGAAGACCTCAGATGAGATGGACTGACCCAATAACTGGAGTATTAAGGGTAGGTGTGTCAGAAACAGTGAGTTTTGCTCAGGATATAGCAGGATTCAGAGCTATTATGCATACGGTTGCTATGAGTCATAGTTGACTCGACGGCACATAATGGTAATAATCAATGTAAACGCCATCATGCCACTGATTTTTGTTCCATTTTTTGTTATTTCCAGATCCTAGCAGTGTCTAACTTTATTCAATGATGTGTGAAAACAGAATAATCTCTTCCAGAAGAAAGACATTTCTGATCACAAATACCACCATTTTCTAACACTTCTCTCAACAAAGTCATCTCTTGGGTTTGGTAATTAACACATTACAATGTCCATTGGGAATAACATTTGTCAAAAACGCATATTCTGTTGTGGTTTTCATTTTGCACATAGATGGTAACCACAATAATCTTAAAATCTGAATAAAAACATGTAAATCAAACATCTTTTCATTGTCTATCAGGATCTTATGGCTTTTTCACCTTTAATCTGGCTATGAGATTAGAATATCTTTCTGGTTTACTTCACTCAAGCATAAAGAATCATTTAACATCATAACCTTAACCATAATAATATGTCATCAGCTTGTACGGACCAGAGAAAATAAAAATCAAGGTCAAGTGAGCAGGTATACTCAGATTTGGTGTGCTGGGCATTTAAAAAAAACACCCCACACAATATGGAAACAAAGCATGCATTCATTACCTTTGCAGAATGCTCCATGGTAACCACCACTTTGGTTTTGGCGCTGGATACTAAATCCATAGCACCTCCCATTCCTTTCACCATCTTCCCCTGCAAAACAGAAAGAGTAGGGATGAAGTGTCACTGTAGCTTTGTCTTCTTAATATGTGGAGTGATAACATTACATTGTAAGAATGAAACACTGCTATAAGTAAAGAGAAAATTTTTTTGTACTTGAAATATCATTAGTTTAACTGCAAAAATGCATTCCTCACGTTGGTTTCAACCTTGCTTTTATGCTGTCATTCCATTATTCTATGGTGGATAAAGAAAGTCCAGATGAATCCTTCATATGTTGCTAACTTCTTATTTCTTTTTTTGGCTGATATGCTAGTGATACATGCACTAATGGATCACGTGGTGGGCATTTAACTGAAAAGCAGGAGGTTCAAATGCTTCAGCTACGTTCTTCGGTAAAGCTATTCAACCTTTAAAATTCTAAGAGACAGTTCAGCTCTGCCCAATAATGTTGCCAGCAGTCACGACTGATTTACCAACAGTGGATATCATCAGTGACAAGGCAAACAGTGGAGAAATTTTAAAACTTTTCCAGAACTAGGATTCATTATTATATTATTTATTATAGCAAAAGTGCCAGTGCCAGTTTGAAAGCTGCACACCCTGACATCATTTCTCTTTTTTCTAAACATTTAATTGGTAGCTCTAAGCTTTCAATTACAGGCACTTTCTAAAGCACTTGCTCGACTCCCCTGCACATTACAATGCCATTAGGTAAGAGGCACTAATGGCATTTCTCTAGTGATGATTAATAGGAAAGGTGTGCCAGTCTTCCTAGCACTTGGCCTTTATTCTGCTCTGAGAAAAACAAAGCAAAAAAAAAAAAAAAAGTTATGTTAAGCAAAAACAGAATGTAAAATACTTTTACCATCATCATTCCATTTTTAATCATTTGTCCACAGTCTCATTCATTATTAAACAGTCACCAAACCACCTTCTATGTGCTACACGGCATAAAGAATTCCCACTGTCTACTCCATCCCTGGTTATAGTGCTTTGGTAAAACTAAGTGCTTCCAGATATTATAATATAAATTCTTCATCAAATAGGTTGGAGAAAAAATGTTTTCTAACTTTGAAGATATTTTAACCTTCTTGAGTTTTTATTTGTAACTGGGGCAATGTGGGCTGGTGTGCTGGAATCAGTGAGACTGGCTCAAGACAGGGCAGATTTCAGGGCTACTGTACATAGGGTCACTATGTGTCACAGGAACTCGATGGCACATAACAATGATAATCTTTTATTTACCTTTAAAATTTCTTTCGCTTTTATTTACTTTTTAAACCCAAGTACTCTTTGCTAATTTGACAGAAAGCTCTTGGCTTCTTTTCTTAGAATGTTAGTTATCAGAAAAATTAGGAAATCCACTCACACCTGGTAAGAAATCATGGTCTAGAATTTCCTGATAACTGATATTTTATAAGTTATTGTACCGACAATAAGCAGGAATTAGATGAGCCCAAGATAGAGGAACAAGTAATCATGATCTCTTTGTGGTTTGAAACCTGCTATTAAATAAAAAGAACGTAGGTTGAGATGGTTAGAGCAGTGAAGAAGGGATGGAGGTTACAAAATTAGTTTGGTATGAGACACATTAAGTTTAAAATGAGGTAGAACACTCTGATGGAAATGTGTCATTTCATGCTTTCATGGGCAATACGTCCATCCTCAGTCATCTGCAAGTATAATAAATTAGGTGCTAGGCCATCAATTTTCAATTGCTTCATATGCATGTGGACGTGAGTAAGGAATAAGGAAGACTAAAAAAGAATTAACACCTCTGAATCGTGCTGTTGGTGAAGAGTACACTGAATATCCCTTGGTCTGACAAAAGAACCAACTAGTCTGTCTTGGAGGAACTGCAACTACCATGCTCCTGAGAGGCAAGAATGGTGAAACTTTGACTTACATACTTCCGTCATATTGTCAAGAATGCCAGTGTTTGAAAAAGGTATCATGCTAGGAAAGGTGGAGAGTCTGGGAAAGAGAGGAACACCTCAAATAGATGGATTGACAACAACTGCATCAATGAGCTCAAGCATGTCAGAGATTGTGTGGTCGGCACAGGAGAGGTCAAGGTCTCTATTGTTCATTGATTATTGTTGCTTTGAGTTGTAGTCAACTCAACACCTCCTAAAAATTATAGGCTGTCATATTATATAGAAAATGCTAATACCTTTATGACATGAAATATAGATATGTTTCATTTAGGACCAGTGACTGCCTTTCAATGTTCAGCTGTATTCACAATTATATATACAACTTATATACAATCTATAGTAGCAAACCAATTTCTATAAAATCTACTATATTAGAGATCTGAGGTTCATTCAATGGTTTGTAATAACAAATGGGTACTAATTTGCTGTGTGCTTCAAAACATTTGTAATATTACTGAAATATGATATTAAAGATATTTTAGTGCATTTGGAAGTATTTCTTTAACTTTTTTAAAACACGTAAATGTACATTATATAAAATGTACATGCATGCCCATGTTTATCGTGGCTTTGTTCACAATAGCAAAGAGCTGGAAACAACCTAAGTACCCATCAACAAATGAATGGATAGAGAAGCTGTGGTATATTCACACAATGGAATACTACACTGCACTGAAAAACAAGGAACTCATGAAATATTATTCAAAGTGGGTGATCCAGGAGGACATTATGCTGAATGAAATATCTCAGTCACAAAAGGACAAATACTGCATGGTGCCAGTGTTGTAAAATGGAACTGACCTTGGGGTTGGGGGGCGACTGAGAAAGATGGGATAAATAATGTTTACTGCACTGAAACAGATGAGGGAGAAAACTGTTTAAAAGGGATATATGATTAGGTATTTTTGTCATGACAGGAGTCCAGAACGAAGGCTGCATAGTGGAGTGACCCTAGGGGGAGAGGCTGTATAACAATGAAAAAAATTTTTCTTTTACTTTTCAAAGAGAAGAGCAAAGTAGGGTGAAGGGGTGGACAGGGAGAAAAGTGCAGCAATGAATGAATGGAAATCCAAAGTCTCTGTAAATTTTCATTAAAATTAATACCAATAATAATAATGAGAATGTAAAGGGTCAGGTAACCTAGATTAATGAAAAAAGAACATCCAGAATGGAAATAAGAAAGTTCACACATTGTAAAGAATGTAACCAACATTGTAGGGTAATTTATGCCAAAATTGTTGAATGAGAACCTAAATTGCCATATAAGCCCTCACCGAAGACACAAATTAAAATTCTTTAAAAAAAGTATTAAGATAAACATTTGAATGACATTAGACACAAACTGGATGATTTGAAGCACTTGTCGCAGAAGATCAAGGAATGCAGCCTTCAATATGGATTGTGACTCAACATCAAGAAAACAAAGTTTCTTACCACTGGTTCAACAGGCAGTGTCATGATGAATGGAGAGGAGACTGAAACTGTCAACAGTTTCATCTTGCTTGGATCTACAATTAACACCCTTGGTATGAGCAGTGAGGAAATAAGGAGACATACTGCAAAGGGAAAATCTGTAGTTAAGGACCTTTTCAAATGATTGAAGAGTAATGATGTCAGTTTGAGGAATAAGGTGAGTCTGATTCAGGCCACAGTCTTTCTGATTACTAGCTATGCATCTGAGACCTGGACAATGAATAAGGATGACAGGAAAATGATGCCTTTGTGTCGTGATGTTTGAGAAGAGCACTGAATATTCCGTGGTTGGCCAAGAAAGCAAATAGATAGGTCTTGGAGAGAGTGCAGTCAGAGAACTCTGAAGACAAGAATGACAAGGCTTCACCTATCATACTTTTGGACATATTGCTAGGAGGTGCTATTCCTTGGAACGGGACATGATGTTGGAAGGTTGGAGGGTCGACGAAGGAGAGAAAGACACGCAACCAGGTGGATAGACAAGGTGACTGCAGCAATGAGCTCTTGTGTGTCAAGAAGAGTGAGGAAGGCACAGGACAGGACTGGTTTCAGATCTTTTGTTCATAGGGTCGCTATAAGTCCTACTCAACTCGATGGCTCCTAACAACAACAACAACAGACACAAAGTGTACCTTAACTGCTCCAACTTACAAACATATTTGACTTTAAAACAGATTTATGAATAGAATTTTTATAGAAGCTAGCAATTGCCTGTACTGGGATATTCTGGAAGTTTAAGACAATTGAAAGATACCGATGCATCTTCACATGTATCAAAATTCTGAAAATCAAGAAAAGATTGAAGACTATTCTAAATATAAGAAGTGACTGTGAACTCTAATCTTTTGTCAAGATAAACATTAACAGGGCAATTGGTGGAAACTGAATGGAGTCTGAACATTCAATAGTAGCAGTGTATTAATGTTACTTGTTTTATTTTATGTTTTAATAGCTGAATTGTCATGGAGCACAGTGATACTGTGTTGGAGATAAACACACTATATAGTATACAGGGGTGATGGGAGTATCATGCTGACAATATGTTGGAAAATAAAGAGGAAAAAATAAAGACAAGAGGGGAGGAAATGTCCAAATGGTAAAACATGTCAACATACAAGGCATATGAGTGAATGTTTAAAAGGAGTTCTTGCCACCTTTCTCTAAGTAGATTACTAAAAATATTTAACTAATTGACAGTGGTTTAAGTGTGTAAACCAGACAAACCAAAGTTGGACATTTTCTTTGACGCTGTCAGAAATGATTACTGTGTAATCACTGTGTTACAAGGGACAAAAGTTAACTGTGGTATATTCTAATAAAAGAAATACTTTTTTAAATTCCATTTTGAACATCTTGCATAGTTTCTGCTTTTCTCAAGACTACTTTTTCCTGTTCTTCTAGCACTTACACCCTTAGCAAGTCTGCCCAAGAACTCTGTGGGCTGAAGCGGAGCCTACAGGGCAATCTGACCTCAGCAAGCTCAGATCTTTTAAGATGGATTTGTTTCTTCATCTTTAAAAAAAAATACAATTTAAACTTTCTATTCTGACTCTCATAGACATGCTGGTCTAATACAAATGTTCCTCAAGGATGGCTGTCAAGAGTTTAATGTTAAAAATG